ATAATAATAATAATAATAATAATAATAATCGCTTTGTAACCGCATCCTATTCTCGATATATTAAAAAATATATATATTTACTTTATACATGCACTCCACGCGCTATAATCCGCGCGGTTTAAAATCTTTTATACACACCCATCAGAGATCTACCTTCCAGCAGTCATCACAGTTTCAAATATATATCGTATAATACAATAGTCTCGTACGCATAATATCGACAATGAACGTACGCGAAAACCCGATTAAAATAATTTCGATGGATGGTATAGCAGCGCAGCGTAAAGCTCGTCGATAAGCTCGGGGCAATGCGCGCGATCCTATATCTCTCTCTCCGCGTATACGGACTCGCGCCCGATTCTGCGTCGAATACATAATTGAATTGTAAATGCCCCCGCGCGCGATATAGCTCTACGCTCGGGCGCGCGATTTGTGGCGACGGGATTTCTGAATTCTCGGCGAGAAATCACGCGGTGGCAGCAGCTTCTGTATTATACCCATATCGCAAAACGCAAAACGAATAGCCTCCGCGATGCCGCTGCTGCTATAGCTGCCACGATATATATGTAGAGAGAGAGAGAGAGAGAGAGAAACGCTAAATCAATTATACGCAATTTAGTGTCACGAGTCGTACGCTAGCTCGCTGTATCTTGATTCATTTTTTTCGTCGTATATTCCGATAAATAAAAAAGCGAACTACGTGAGATATCGAACGTATAACGAGGCGAAAAAAAGCATATTTAAATCGGCTCGATAAGAAACGGACGTACGCGCCGGTACAGCACGATGATGTATAATACTTTTCATATAAACGAAAAAAAGGTTACGCGCTTCGAAAGCTCCAAAAAGCTGCTGGAGCACGTGATATTAGTAGCAGTTGTGTGTATTTTAAAAGTGGCCGAGAGAGAGCTCGTGGAAGAAAATATCGATCCGCACGATGAGCTAGACACAACTTCGCAGGTTGTATATATACCGTGTAGACGAATATTACGTAAGCCCGCCGCCACCGCCTCCAAGTAGGCTAGCCGTCGTGCACGCGCGCGTGGCACATAATTGAAGCCTGTGCTGCCGCTCGCTCGTTCGAGGGGGCGGGTGCAAAATTTAGCAGCAAAATTTTTAGGCCATCCGAATCTGAAAATCCCGTCGAGATTTCGCGCGCGCGCGAGCGAGACATAATGATAGCAGTATCAATCCAGGTGATACTTAATATAACGCGTGCTGCTGCTGCCGTTGCACTACTTCGATCAATTGATTTTCAATTACTCGTCGCGTCGCGTCGCGAGAGCTAGTTCGGTATACGTAGGCGAATCAAAGGCGCGAATTTATAATAAAATCAATTATCCATTCCTCCAGCGCCGACGGGGGTAATGGCATTAAATAATGGCGGAACGGGGCAAAAGAATTTGCACTATATGGTATCGATCGATCTGGACGACGCGGGCGCGCGCGCGTTCAACGAGTCGCGGGAGAGCTTCAAAGCAAACGACGCGTACAGTGCGCTGTGCGCGCGTATACGCGATAGATAGATAGTAGCTAGCTCTGCTGTGTCTATATTTGTTCGCAGAGCTCGATAATATGAATCTGAAAATGATCAAACTCAACGACCCTTCGAGAACGTCATGCATACAATCACTCACCTGATTATTTATTCTATTTTGTGATTCAAATCGAAAAAAAAAAGAAATGAAAATCAAATTTAGTCGTCTACTTATAATTGTAGAGACCTGCCAACACCGATATAGTTTTCCTATATATCTATTGATTTGTATGGACCCGTTTCGAACCACTGCAAGCAGTTGCAAATGACTTAAGAAACGACTCGCAGCAAAGGAAGGATTTTGAGATATGTGTGTACAGAGATTTTATATTATACACAGATACGATATCGGTAATTATTAACTTTTTATATGGACAGATACCTCTTTTTAAATTACGACACTTTTTATTTTTTTAATTTTTTTATACAACGTTGTCGTCGTCCTCGTCACCAGGAACATCGAGTAAATTGATTTCTTTTTTTTTGTACGTACCTCGTGCACATCGAACAGTACAGTTAATTAATTCAATTTTTTTTTTTTCATTCGACGTTACACACATTTTGAGCACCACTGATTGAAACTGGGAAAATTAACCCAAGATGAAATGAAAAAGAGGAGGAAAGAAAGAAAGGAAGAACGAAGTAGTTACAGCAGAGACTCGATGCAATTAGTCCTTTTCATTTCGAAGAAAGGTCGATTTGTACAAAGCGAAAACATTTGTTATAGAAATTCGTTTTTTCGGAGAGCAGAGCAGCAGCAGCAGCAGTCCGCTCTTTCAGGCTGAAAACGATCGATCTTGCCACCGAGTCTTCTCTTTCACCGTGTCGCCCCCGCGAGAGGAAATAAATAAACAAAAGAGAAGACGTAAAAAGCAAAGACTTTCTTCCTCGTTGGCATCCGTTTAAAATTCAGTACAAAAAAAAACAAAACAAAGCCTCGCGTGAAAACATTTTTTTCGCAAGCAGGCAATTCGCCCGCGCGCGCGCGTAAAATTGGATCGTAAATTAACATGGAAATTAAGAATATATACCCGGAAAAACCTATTTCTTTTATAGGCGAACAAATTCGTTCAAGTCGAGCTCGAACTCGGCCCCGCGCGAATAATCCAAATAAGATATGTATTTATTTTTAATTAATTTTAATAAAAATGATAATCTATACTCGCGCTGCCGCTTCTGCCGCTGGTGCATCGCACGTGTCATTTAGCCACTGCACTCGAGAGCTGGCTCTCTCAGATGATCTACAAATTGATTGATGAGAAATTCCGTATTATTATATTATATGAGCACACACGCATACAGGCGCGATTCATAAACGATCCACATTTCAACGTCTAGCTTCCACTTTTGCATCATCATGACCGATGACGCGATCTATCTAATGCTGCTGGCTGCGCTATATACGCACAGCTGCGTCACTTATGCTGCTGGTGCTGCTGCGCGAATTCGAATTACGCGTTATATATCTGAGCGAGTTCGCGAGCCGCCTCCCGATGTTTTAATTAGTTTTATCAGATTAATTAATATTTCATTCGGCAGAGCAGGTATGTGTGTGCTGGGAGCACAGAAACCGGTTTTCGGACGAATTCGAATTCGTGCAAAAATCGTGCACGCGCGCGATGTATTTCATATTTAAATCCCCTTTTCTTCTCTTTCTCTCTTTTTTTTTTTTTGCATTTTTTCGTCAGTTTTAATTGAAAATCAGGTCAACGAGTTAATTTAATTTTTCTACATACTTAGCAGCGGGAGTCTCGATCAGTTGTGGTTTTTTCAGTTATTTTCTTTTCTCCTGCTGACGCACACTCTCACGTACGTACGTACATATAACGTTTATCGATATATAGCTATGCTGAAAAAGCAAACTCGAACCTGAGAGCGCGCGTGATCATGCATAAGTGACTTTTTGGGTATACGTATCAAACTCGATTGACCCGCGCGAACAGTCGGCCAAATTTTTGTTGGAATGCCTCTCAAAGCTTCGTGGTGCAGCACACTCGTCCAAAAAGAAATCCGAAAAAGGCCCTCAGCCCTCGGAGTTCGCTCGGCTGATCCATTTATAAAATTAACTGCGCGCCATTTGACCCGCAACTTTTGATGCAACTCGTTGAAAAAAAAAGCAACGAAAAGAAAAAAAAAAAAGAAAGGGAACGAAAAGGTCGGAAACACGAAATCGCGTTATTACGTGCAGCAGTGCTACTCACGCAATTTTACGATTTTTACTTCGCTCTACCCGCTGCTGCGGAGCTATGCACCGCTGATTAATCCCCGCGAGCTGTGCACATGATCGCATGCGGCGTACATGTCGACGCGATTATATTTCATATACATACAGCGGAGTTACTGCTGCTACTGCTCGGGTCGTGATCGATTAAAACGCGAAGATTTGAGCAAAGCTACATTATGTGAAGTTCTACTTTTATTATGTGGGTATAACATAAACGTGATATATACATATAGACTCACGCGATGTAACGGAAAGCACAGGCAGCAGCAGCAAAAAAAAGCGAAGTATTAAGTGCAGCAGCAACGAGTAGAGACTTTGTTGAAGCTGACACTCTCGCGAATAATATAGAGCGAGCGAGCCGGGGTGAAAAGTGTACCATATCGCCGCTGCGCTGCTTTGCTATAGACTCCAGCGAAGCGAAATCGATCTTCGAAGAAGTGGGCGCGCGAAAGAACAGAGTGTAAAGTGCACAAATAACGTGTATGTACAATTCCACGAGAGAGCTTACATCGACCTGTAAGAGAGAAAAATAGATGTTTTCATCGATGGCAAACACACCCATTTATACCCGTGTGTGTCGGGGTGGATTTTTCAGTTTGATGCGATCGAAAATCCAACGCGCGCGAGCTGTTATCGCGTGGAAAAATATATATCAGAGGTATGAAAAAGTGAGATGTATTTAAGATAAAGGGTCTGTAACGTAAGTTTTTTCTTTCTTTCTCTTTGCTCCTGCTGTTCGTGCGATTGCACGTTTGTATATGTATTTTCGATCCGCCGCCGAAACTTTCCTTTTATAACAACATATACGTCACGTACATAACACAGGGTTGGGTGGTGGTGGTGTTTGGCACGACTGCAAGTGTGTATAAACGTTTTCCGACTTCGCCCTCTCGGCTCTAACAACAACAACGCGTGCAAGCACACACCGACACGTAGAAAAACACACACGCGTACGTGTGTACACGTTCGCAAGCCTTTCTCAGAGGTGTTCGATCGATATGCAATCCCGTGTACGTAGACGGATAGACTCCGACTCTATGTTTCTTTACTCGCGCCGAGCGCGTGAAAAAAAAGGGTTATGGGTGCGCGCGTACGTATGTACCTGCGCTATTCAAAAAGTTTAATTTTTTTCTCTTTCTTTTGTCGGAATTTCTTATGAGTCGCGCGCGAGCTTATGTGTATTTTCGTTCATTTGAATCGAAATTTTTTTCCTCCTTTTCGCTTTCTTTCTATTTTTTTTTAACGCCCCTTAAGGAGCGAGAGAGAGAGAGAGCGAGAGAGCGAGAAAAGGGAAAGGAGTGAAAAGTATGAAAATATACAGCACTTAACCTAGTTTATTACCTTGGAAAAAAGCAGCAGCGTCAGAAGGAGCGATAAGACGGATGAAAAAAGACGCGCTGCTCTGCTCTGCTCCCTCTCCGTCTGTACATGTCTCTTGTATATGTATGAAAACATTATACACACACGCAAACACAGACGCCGTGTATAACAGCCACTGCGTGCTTGGTACACACGTATTGAATTATATCGACTTTCGGCGCAGCGGCATAAGTTCGTATAAGGGTTTTTCTCGCGTGTCTTTGGCTGCTGCTGCTGCTTTCAACACCGACGCCCATGACTTTACAATTTACACTGTACCAGTCGTAATATAGCTCTGTGTGTATGTGCGTGTATGTGAGTGTGTAGATACTGCACCCACTATTGAGGGAAAGAAAGAGCTCGATGTGTATTAAAAAAAGCTCCACAAGTACCAGCACATAACACATTTATAGCAGTAGTATACACACACACACACACACACACGGGTATATATAAGGAGCGAATTCGAAAAGAAACGGGAGAGAAAGAGAGTTGTGTGTCGGTGTACGAGGCGCGATGAAAGAAAAATGTCGATTTTTTTTTCTCTCTTTCTTTTTTCTTTTGGTACCCTTTCCTTGCCTTTAGCACTTGAGTCGCGTTTTCCATTCGCTCCCAGCCTCCTTTATAGCTGTAGTTTTTTTTCTATTCTTCGTAGTTTACTTTATTCTCTCTTTCTGCTTTATTTTTTTTTTTTTCGTTAAACGTCGTGTGCAAATATAAGTAATGCACGCAGCTCCGTAGTACAGCTCTAGCCCTGCATATTATTGAAATTGATTCGATGTCTTTTTATGAAAAGTGCGAATTATTACACGTGCTCATTATAACCCTTTATCCTTCGTTAACAATCGTATATATTATTTTTACTTATATACACATATACACAAATTTATAATACGTACACAACGCCACACACAGACAACAATGGCGCCGAAGGAATATCATCCTTGGCTTTATATACGGGATTTGGTAACGAAATAAAAAAAAATTTTAACTTAAAGTACATGTATAGTTATATACATATATGTATATATCACTTAGCTTTCGCGCGTCGGTCAGGCTCTCGCGTGTCTCTCTCTCGCTCTCGACCCTCTCACTCTCACCTTAATCCACGCTAAAGTTCGATTATGTCGGGAGCTCGGAACTGTACTTTGCACGAGTACTTGCTGTCGAGTACGTTGCCGCCACCGCCGCCGCTGCTGCTGCTGACCACCACTGCTCCGGGCGTTTTGGGCGCCATATTTTGTCGTTGTAGCTCGGACGTCGCGATCGCCGTTGAAGCGTTGGACGTTTCGGCCTGGCCGTTCGGACTGACGTCCTCGTCGTTCTCCGCGATCTTCTCGAGTACTTGCGGCGGTTGCAGCTGCTGCTGCTGCTGCAGAAGCTTATCTTGTCGTCTCAGGCTGCCGCTCGTCGTTGCCTTAACCGAGTCGCGATGCCCTTCCGATCGCTGCTGGCGTATCGAGTGTCTTGGTTATTTGAATCTGAAAAATGTCACGTAATTTTTTTCGTTTTACTTTAAAATAAAAAAGCAAGAAATACTTTTGGGTCACTAGTTCAGCGGTGATTTATCAATTTCTTCGCGTGTAAGATCGACGATAACAAGAAAAAAAAAACAAGAAAATAATAATTATGCACCCAAGTGAAATGGGCCAGAGTAAAAAATTTATTTCACGTTGCAGCGCAGGCGTCGCAAGCTCGACTCACCTGTCGGGCAGGGGACAGGCTAAAATCCTGCAGAAGAACAGCAACAAACTCGTGACGACACTGACGAATATAACCACGTAGATAACGAACAGATGGACGAGGGAGAAAGCGTAGAGGGTCCGGTGGCACCAGCGATTGGGCTCGAACAGCGTCGGCGAGTAGTCCGGCCACCTTATGCTCAGGATCCAGTAGTTACCTGTACGTGTGGGCAGACGCACAAGGACACGAGAAAACAGACACGTACATTACAAAATATATACAATATAATCCCGGAACTTATGCAATAAATGTAATAATGTCGGATAAAGTTTTAGTCTGAAAGAAGAAAAAAAGAGGCAGATGTACACATACACGCGTACAGCTCGAGTTCGAGATAAAACTTATAATTACATAATACACACACATACACTTTGTATTTACAAATTATGAAGTTTCGTTGTAGGAAGCGCGACGCGAGGTCGGGAGAGACGGGAGGCCAACGGCGCGACGAGCCCCCACTAGAAACAAGTTATTTAATTGAAAAACTTGGGTTAATTTACTTTTCAGCTATACACACACACACACACATACACGCTCGCGCACAGTTGAACGGAAGTGCGAGGGAGAGGGAGAGAGAGAGAGAAAAGCGCAAAGAAAAACACTCGAAAATCTCTCGTGTGCCCATTTCGCCCGGAGAATCGATCAATCCTCGGCGCGGCGTTGCAGCAGCAGCAGCAGCAGCAGCACCGCGCCGGATGTTAATTGCAAAATTCAAGACAAACAATCGAAACAATAATAATAATGATTACAAAGAAGCATCATATCTATCTGCCTCGGGTATATAGAACGTTGATTGTATGCTATCTCCTCTCGCGTTTCACGATCGCGGCCGTTTCTGTGTCTCTCACGATAATTGAATCATCGCTAATTAAATTAATTCCGAGCAACCGAAATGACAACGCCAACTCCGCCTGCGACGAGATGCGAGACGAGCTATTAAGAAGATACACTTTGAAATCTCCACGGACAATTTACATATTACGTATAGCGATGCATTCTCGAGTGCGGAATCCGTAACGATATTTTTGCGCGCGCGCGCGAAAGTAGTAACGAACAGTTTTAGTCAGACGACCACAAAGCGTCGCGCCTCGTAGTTAGGCAACCGCGCAGAATGTCCTCGTTCAGCGCAGCGGTATAATTTCTACTTCAAATTTGTTTCATTTCGCATGACTGTAATAGTTTTTTTGTTGCTCGAAATTGAAAAACAAATAGCTGTAACTATCTCTAACCGTTGTTGTATCGTTGCATTCCACGACGACGACGACGACGCCGACGCCCGCAAACGGCTCTATAAATTTGCACTCAGAGCCAAATGATAACAACTGTACGCGTGGACATAATTAATAGTTCGGGGATCAACGCCGATGCTCCCTATCCTACATACAGGAACGTACTAGCATATAAACGAACATATATATCCATGCACGCGTGCGCGAACGCGAGAGTAGACGTATCAAATTCATCGCGATTATATCATTGACGGGCGTCGGCAGAGCACAGCACCTACATAGGTATGTATATAGAGTAGCTCGCGAGCACGAGACAGGCCGTTAAATACCATTTTCAGGGTCAAAGCGTGTGTGGAAGCGGCTAAAAGTTCGCGTGCGATACGTGTGTATAGCAGCGGTACGCTTCGAATGATGTGTTTGTAATTTATGTACTCTATACCACCTATGTAACACCGACGAAGCATCCACGCTCGTGCTGTACAATGTACTATATATCAAAAAAGATAGAAATCTTTATACAAGCCGCGCAGAGCACACGTGTGCCGCTGCTGCACCAGCAGAAAAGATCTTACGTAAATTAACGCGGTTATTGAAGCTGAAAGTACAATGCGGGAAGCTCTCTCTCTCTCTCTCTCTCTCTCTCTCTCTCTCTCTCTCTCCGGTGTTTCCTTCAAACCTGCGGTCGAACTATATTTACATGTGATATATTTTTGTCAAGCCGTACGAAAAAGGAAAATATGTAACTGAATTTAACCGCTCGTGCATCCGCACGATCGCGGCAACTCTCGCGCGCGCGCGTGGAAATATTCATTGAACGCAACCAGTCGGAAGTAAATATCGAGAGGGAGAGGAATGGAATGAGCCGCCTTCGCGAGAGATAAGAGAAGTATTTCTGCGCGGAGGAAGTTTGAGGACTTACGTGCTGCGGGCGATGGAAGATGAAAAAAAAAGAGGGAGGAAAAAAAGAAAAGATTCTTGCGCCAAGTATCGATTTACCGCAATATGTATACATATCTATCTCGCGCGAGTCGTGCGAGACAGACCGTGAAAGTTTTGTGTGTGTGTGTGTGTTATTTCTGAACGATTCATCAAAATCAAATTCGTAGGCAATTTACATATCGTATGTGTGCATGAGTGCGCGCGCCCTTTATAACGCGAATGCGATACCTTTTTTACGTACGTGTGATTTTTAGAAATGCTCTTATTTTTCTGTACCGAATCGATAGTTCCTGACCCTGGTACAAAATGCTCGACATTCGTAATGGCCCGATGATCAAAAAATGAACGATTAAAACTTTTCATATATTATCATCGATTTGGCTTATTTTCAATAATTATTTTATTGTAATTATGTTAGATACACTAAGGGTATTTTAAATTACCGCAAAATGACATTTTTAATTTTTTTTTTCACAAAATTCAGACCAGTTTTCAGTCACTTTAATCACGGTAATACTACTTTAAGTCTTCACCACTCGATGGCGAGTACTTTTTTTTTGTAAATCTGCAAGTGGCAAAGTAAAAATAATTTTATTAATAGCAAGCTTTTGCGCTTTAGATGCATTAATAATATTTAGTTTTTAGTATTTTAATAATTGAATCACTACAAGTACGAGGATATCATTTTTCGCCCTCGCCACTAGGTGGCGAATACCTTCATTGGTAAATCTACAAGTGGTAAAGAAAAAAGAATTCTGTAAGTCAAAGCAAAAATTTGTCGTTTCATGATTTATTTCATTTTTATTCAAAAATAAGCCACAAAATGTCGAGCATTTTTTTCAGGAATCAGTAAAAATACTTATTAGCGACTTTTGTTGAGGTTTCGAAAAGTTAGCCTTTTTTAATAATCACTTTGAAGTAATCCATCCTAAGTAATTCTTCAGTATTCGTGAATTTCCCGCACAATCAATCAATTTTGGTATCAAAGTTTCAATTCAATCGTTCCAAACAATCTCTCTCAATACGTAATTCGATTGTTTTATTAATATTTGTGAAGTGTTCTATACAAGAGACTTACCGAGTAAAAACCATCCGAATAAAAAAGTCGTCAACATAATGGAGGCCAGCATCTTGGGCGAGAATTTCGTCCTGGAGCCGGGCATTGATAGCACCTTGGGCCGCCTCGACCTGATCTGCGAGTAGAGCGTCCAGAACATGCGTATGGCGCCGAGGGTACCGCCGACGATCATGTAAACCGGGATGTTTGGCTCGCGCGGACAGTCCCTGATGAATTGCGCACCTGCACATATTCGACGACGGACACAAAACACACGGAGAAACTTGAGTAATGAAAATGAAAAAGTCACTGTGCGATATTAAATTACGATGTTGAATGTAAAAAAAAACGCGACATCTTTTCATTGTAAAGAACAGTGTCGAAATCGTAACAAATATTCTTACATTTATAATAGTTGCTTTTGCAGTACGGGATATAAAAACCAAAAAAATTTAGAGTGGCCATGAGTTTGTCATTTTTTGCAAGGTATTACGAGCGAGGTTAGCGCGCGAATGAAAGTAAACATTGCAACTCGAAGCAAGCCGTATGCTTCGCAATCTCTTTGTAGTTTGCTCGTTGACTCTAGATATCGCATAGCCAAACCTCCAAGCGGTAAAATTCATTTCTATTGCTATAAGAAAGACAAAACAATTCAATCCATATAATTTATTCGCATTTTTTCTACATTAGCAGCGAGTAGTCATACTTTTAATAGACATAGTAAATTTTTCTTCAAATTTCATTGATATTTACTGGATTGGTACAAAAAAAATAATCCAAAAAAAAACACATGCACGATCGTTAATCGCGTGCGCCTAATAGATATCATTACATACACGATAACGAATTCAATCATCCTTTCGATTATCTCCGCTCGAAAAAAAGCCTACCCCACAATTTATATTCATCGCTGCTCGTGAGGATAAATTTTGCGGCAAATCGACGCTCTTCTGCCATATAAGTGTCCGATTTCGATATTACAATTACATTACTCACACGTAATATTATATCTATATGCATATAAAGTAATAATATCTGCGGGGGGCACACCACCACTGCTGCATGTGCACAAGATATAGGCAAGCGATTATATATCGAAGTAATTTTCCACGAGAGACGTCGTCTCGCCTGTGCTTCAGGAGTAGTAGTAGGAGTGAAACCCTTATCTCTCGACTTGGAATAAATTAATACTAATCGCAGCTAAGGAGCAGAAGTAGTAAGAGCTCCGCTACTACCCCAACCGACCGACCGACCGACCGACCAACTTGAGAATTTCTCGGCGCGCGCGAGTTCGATGCTTTTTCTTCTACATATATAATACGTAACGTGAGTGTTTATCAAAGAACCGCCGAGCATGCGATCGTAATAAATGAGGGAAAAGTAGGGAGTAGTCGAGCGTTATGTACATGCAACTGTGAAAATTACACGAGCTGCTGCTGCGGCAGCGTCGAGATTATAGGTCAACAATTAATAATTTCATTCGCGTCTCGCGTGCATTATGCATTTATATACAGCAGCAGTGTATACTACTACTATATAGTTTGTATATATAAGTCGTCGAAAGCTTCGTTTCCTCGAATCTCTCCCTCAAGAGAGAACGAGGATCGAAATCGCTCGAATATGGAGCTCTCCGCCGAAGTAAAAACGCACACACGTGCATTATAACAAATGCATATAGCTATTCCATATTTATTCGGTATTTGTGCATTATTAATGCACATCGCTCTACACGGCCGGCTGCAAGCTCTACGCACAGCTGCGCATCGTATATATGATGAATAATGAACGCGAAGCACAACGAGTATACACTTCAACAATTGCTGCTGCATATGCAGCTACTAACAACTCGATGAGGGCTTTATAATCCGCTCCGCGAAGGCTTCAATAATGTAAATGTAACGCGTAAAGTACGCGCAGGACGCGTCCTTCCTCACAACTACGACTACTACTCCTTCGAGTAAAGAGCAAATATTAATACGGCTCGCGCAAGAAGCACAGCACACACACACATATGCTATGTTTGGACTGCAGCAGCAGCAGCAGCAGTAACAGCAGAGATATAGACTTGGAGCGCGCATGAAAATTGCATCAAAGGAACTTGTACCGCTGCTGCATAGTACTACTACCTACTGGCCTTCGCCACGCTAGATATTTGTGCAAGCTCGACTCTGTAGTCGCGCACAAACGGCAAGGTATTAAGAGCACGAGAGATAGAGAGAGAAACAGAAACTTACCGAGTATAAGCATGACAATGGGCATGGCGGTGAGTAGAACGAGGCAGCAGGTGACCAGCATCGTCTTGCTGACCACTCGCAAAGCTCGATAGACAAAGTCGCAGGTGCCCTCGGCCTCGAGATGCGCGACTTTCAGCTGGAAGACGAGCGAGCCGTAAGCCGCCACGCTCGTCGGCTCGTTCTTCGCTTGCTGCTGCTGCTGGCTCTTGCTGGCCGATTGCTGGCCGACGCCGCTGATTATGCCGCCGACGATGCCGCTGCTGCCGCACTGCAGGCCCTTCTCCACGTAATTAACGTTGCCCGAGCTGCTGCCGTAGTTGTTGTTGCCGCAGAGACGTCGCGACTCGTCGCCCGAAAACTGTAATTTACACCATCACGATGACGACGACGACGACGATGATGATTATATTGTTAAGATATTCTCGTGGGTACGGGTGGTTCTGGCGATATATATGTATGTATCGCGTGCGTACACATAGCGGCGCGAAAGTATGTCAGTGCGGTTCTATATATATGTACGCGTGTGCCGAACGTACGTACGTACTACTCGACACAATTGCCGCGCGCGCGCGCGCGATTCGCAATTGAGACAAGTTTGGTATTCAGTGGTCTCGACTGCAGCCGCCGTTGCTGCCGCCGCGCTGCTAACTGCAGCATACAGGCAGCCCAGATATAGGAGCTTCATAAGCCTCTCTACTGTGTGCAGGTACGTAGGTATGTATGTATAGCGCGCGTGGCCGTACGGAACTATGCTGCTGCAGCCGAGCGATAAATCAAATCTTGGGAAAATGAAGAGAGAAGCGGCGCTGCGCGCTACATACGGGGCTCGAAATGGCTCGAGGGTAGCAGACGAGAGATCGTCAAAAGCCCAAAGTAAATTACATCTGCGGTCGCTCGCTCTCGGGCCAAAGCTCTTATATACTTTGTCGAGAGCTACGTAGCTGGAGCTGCCGAGAGCATGCCAGAGACGGCTAATTTTCTCGTAAAAATTAATCGGGATCTTTACGTGTGTCTACGTTCGCGCGGCGTTGTTTCGGACACGCGTTAATCGAACTTCGCGGCCGGCTTTGAATTTAGAGGAATGCAGCGCGGCGAGGAAACTTCATTTTTTTTTCTTCTTCTTTTGGATAGTTAAAAAAAAATGAAGCCAAATTACCCCCGCGCCCATATAACTGTCGTTAAAAGCACGTTTATAATTATGTCATCGATACAATAATCGAGATATTGATGATCGTACCTGCGATACGGAACTACTGGCTCGCCTCGAGTCGGCCCAAGCGCCGTAGTTGGCCGTGGGCACCTGCTGCTGCTGCTGCTGTTGCTGCTGCGTCGTCGCGGAGGTGGTCGTGGTAGCGCCGTAACCGACGCCGCCGCTGTGATTTCCCAGCACCGCGTGGCCGCTTCCGGTCGATCGGACGCTTCCGGAAGTATCGCCGCGCTGATGATACGGCGAGCCGCTTCGATTTCTCGACGGCGTGCCTGAAGTCAACGAATCAGGCAGGTGTAAATGTATAATTATGATGAAAATGTTTCCTCCTGACCAACGTCATTTGGAATTTTAAGAATCGTCTCGATTTTTCAAATAAAAATTTTTTATGATGAAATAAACTACAAGTATGAACGTAGTAATGCGAGGAAGAGAAATATCTAAGTAAAGATCGGTTTTTTTACTGCGAGCTTATTTTCGTTTGATTCGATAAGAGCTTGTTATTTAGGATTTAAGCAAATCCCTGCCTTCGTTTTGCAAGCTTTTAACAACTTGTAGAAGTTGCGAAAAATTTTTTTGGAATCATTTTTACTTCGACCTCTATAGAGGTCGGTATACTGAGTATAACTATAACGCGGACCGTAAAGAATAACTTTAGCTTACAAGAACGGTCGTTCATAGTGTTCATTCAAAAGTGTTTCATATCAAAGAGTTAAAGATTTTATTCGAGTCTTCAAAGCCTTCAATAACAAAAAATAATCAAATAATCAAAATTCGCTTAAAAATATTCGGGTAGCGAATTTTGCTTATACAATTATTTTCATTTTGCCACTTGCAGATTTAAAGACAAAGGTACTTGCCATCTAGTGGTGAAGCTTGGCATTAATTGTGATTGAATTTATTGTGTAGCTAATGTTAAAAAGAATACTTATTCGTTCATTTTTAAATAGATGGATAAATATTTTAAATAGAGATTTTTAATAGAATATCTTGGAGATAGATAATTTAGATAGATGATTATTTTTGACTCGAAGATGAAACAACGCGAAAAATAAAACACATTTTCTGACTATTGTAAAATAGATACGAAAGCAATTATTTTAATTGATGCGAAATGAAAATGTAGTAGTATGATGTAAAATACGACCCATCTCAAAATGAACACGCCGTAGGTGTACACGGAGCTTAATGCAAGAATCAAATATGCACGAAAGATTTTCATTTCCTTCTTGCCCCGTGTAATTATTAAACGCGAATAATAATTATAATCCCACACCCACCGTGGTCGGCGGAAGAGCGTCTGTTGTCCTGCACCGAGTAGCTCATCCTCGGCAGCCGCCTGTCTTGCGAGCCGCCGAGGCTGCCCCTGGGGCTTCGATCGGTGTCGGGCCCTATGCTCCCTCGGGGGCTCCTGTTGCAGAGCAGCTCGTCCTCGGCCGTCAAAGAGCCTCTGTGCTCGCCGCTCATCATGCCGATGCTGCCGCGCGGCGACCGATTGGCCGGCATCCCCGAGTCGTGCGGTCCGATGGAGCCCCTGGGCGAGCGCTGCTGACCGGCCATCGACATCTCCGGGCAGATGGAGCCACGGGGCGAGCGATTCAGCAGGTCCGGTGCTATGGAGCCGCGGGGCGATCGATTGATCATTTCCGGCGCGATGGAGCCTCGTGGACTCTGATTGAGACACTCCGAGGCTATGGAACCGCGTGGGCTTCGATCCTGAAGACATTTATCGATGTGATTCCATAAATACGCGATTTAATTATAGTCACTCACCTTCATGTCGATGGGTGCTATGCTGCCTCTGGGCGATCTCGACATCGAGTCCTGACACGAGATGGATCCCCTCGCGCTCCTGTCCAGCAGATCGATGTTGGCCACGCTGCCGCGTGGACTGCGCGACTGATCCGGCACGAGCGAGTGTCTCGAGCCGATGCTCATACCGCCTCGGCTCAACTGTCCGTTCTGATCGGTTGGCATGAGGGAAGTCCTCGAGCCCGCCGGCACCAAACTACCCCGGGGCGATCGATTGTGACCGTAGGCGCCGTCCAGCAACGGCACCAGGCTGTTTCTCGGGCTCAGCGCCGAGTCCGGCACCAGCGAGTGTCGCGGGCTCCTCGAGTTGTCGGTCGGCGCGAGGCTGTTCTGCGAGCTGGCGCCCGGTATCAGGGAGCCACGCGGCGAGCGGCTGATCATGACGTAGTCGTCGGGCACGAGCGAGCCGCGGGGGCTGCGATTCACACCGTCGCCCGGCGCCAGGCTCATGCGCTGCCCGCCGCATTGCTCCGGATCTGGCAGCAGTCGCCGATTGAACATCTGCTGAAGAGGGTCAAAAAAAAAAAAAAAAAAAAACGGGCACAGAGAGGGATAGGCGGGGGAGGATTTTCAGAATTATTAATGACGTACATTTTGATGAAAGTAGCAGCAGTCTGAATAATTGAAAATTTCGCCCGCAAAATCACTTCATAAATGTAAACGAGCCCAGCGGCTAATAATAAAGCCCAAAGTATGCCGGGGCTGCATGTAAGCCCATTGGCATTTCGCGCAGTGTATGCACTGCAGCGGCTGCTGCTGCACTCTGCGCTCGCGTAACAGTCGATTTCTATATTATGCAGAGCGAAGTGGAGTCTCGGGCATGTGCAGCTATATATACCAGCTATACTATCGCTACAAGTGGCCGCGCGCGCACACGTCTGGTATAGCCTTTCGCACTATATGCTCGCTAGCGCGCCTCGAGTCTGCTGTACTCCTCCTGCTGTGTCCCTCTCCGGGGAAATTTATCGAGAAGCAAAATAACTTTCGACTTGTCTCGAGCAGCGCACCGGTCTTAGATAGAAATCTCTCTGGTCTCACTCACTCTCTCTTTCTCTTTCTCTTTCTCTCTCTCTCTCTCCTACAGTATTATGCAATTTTAATGTAAATAAGTGTGGATTCCACTACTGGTTTCGCATTACTTTGGCAAATAAATATCAGAGTCTGGCCATGTATATGGCTAACCGTTTCCGCACCTCGATGGTACAATCGCCCGCGTACCCGACAATTCGTTTTAAACAATCATTCTGTTTCGTCGTGTTTACGGTGTGCCGCGCGCGTCGGTGGCTTCATTGTTCCCCGATGGGTTCGCGCGCAAGACCATCCACAGCGCGACTACATATTTTCTTATAAACAGGCTAAAAGCTCGAAGACATATACGTCTATACCGACACAACGACTCGGTGGGAAGAGCAAAAGAGAAAAGAGCGAGAGAGCGAGCGAAAAAAACCTTGCAAGTAACGAGCTATTTGAAATTTAAATCACGTCAAAGCTTTCGGGCATGAACGACAGTTTCATCGCACCGCAGCAGTAGAGTCTCGAGGCATTGATATTGTAGCGCGTCGTCGACGTCGTCGTCGGATGTCGCGCGGCACCGCTGCTTCTGCGCTTATATAAAATATTCGACGACTTTTCAGGCAGGCGTGCGCGTCTTATATACGTGTATACGTTTTCCATCGTTGCCTGCGAAAACTGAATATGAATGCAGCGCCGAGCGTAAAAGTTAAAAAGTTTATAAAGTCCAGCGAGACTTTCGCGCGTTTCTTCGTTGACATTTTTACGAGTTATTACATACGTATATACCATATACGTGTATATGTTCGCTTCGTGCATTGTATATTACGAAGGCTGTGTGTAACATCGAACACACCTCCGGTTGCATTCGAGGCTTTATTCGGAGCGATAAAATTGTTTTCTACTTTGAACGGATTTATATCGTCGATGTTATTGGTAAATTTTGCGAAATAAAAAAATTACGTTTCCCAAAGTTTTGTCATGAATTTGAAAGCTACACGTGCTCTTTATTACAATTCGCCGAACGAGTAGGCTGTGTATTAATCGCGGCGTGACGACGCACGTGAATCACCATCCACGTCCCCGCGCTCAAGCGATGCACCCTGCCTACCTGCTAAATCTATTCTCTCAGAATTGCCAGCTTCGAAACAAGTTAGTTTAGTTTCGCGCCCTGGTGCAGCATGTGCATCGATTTTGTTCGTACGTATAAGCTTGACGCTTGCCTGGCTTTTAGCGTGCACCGATCAAACATTCATAATTGTAACGCGCGTTCGTGTACATTAATGCAGCCATAATTTCGAGCCGAATTTCGTGCCCGAGCTTCAAAGCAAACGCGTTGTGTGTGATTTCCATTCGATTTAAATCTTCAAAAGCTCGCAAGCTCGATATCGAAAATATAGAAAGTAATAAAAAGTACTTCACCTCTTCTGGGGTTTCGTCCTCGGGCTCTAAGGCGATGTTGGGCACGCAGCTGCCGCGCGGCGAACGCTGCCTCAAATTCAACTGCAGTAGTATGGCCGGATGCTCGGACGAAGGCTCGGTCGATGCGACCGAAGCTCTTCTCCCGCTCCGAGGTACTTGTTGTGACTGCTGCTGCTGCTGCTGTTGCTGCTGTAACTGGTTTTGTAACTGTTGCTGTTGTTGCTGCTGTAAATGCTGATGCTGCAGATTCGCAAGGCTGCCCTGTGACGGCCTCTTACGCCTGGTCGACGAGCTACGGTGCAGCATCATGGCAATTGACGATCGTCCATTGTGACAAATTGGCGCTCGCTGACTGACTTAAGCTGAACTACATATCAACAAGTTCTGTGGACAATAGATTTATAAAAATGTGCGTTATTATATTGTTAAATGTTTAAAGGCTTTGCATATCGTCATCGTTACGCAATCCATGAACATAACTCGAGCTCGTGTTTATTGATTAGAATAACCAGATTGCTGCTGCGACGATTACAATCCATAAACACGAATTCGGAAAACTACCCCCACAAATGAAAATAAAAAAACCGCTGCCAATTTATTGGCAAAGAGCTTCCTAATAAAAAATAATATGAACAAAAGGCATCGGTTATTAACGTAAAAATTCGTATTTTTAAATTTTGATTCATTGTCTAGTGTCCTAAGTACCAGTAGATCACAACCATCAGGACCATACACTTCTATGTTAGCCAAAAGGCTGAGAAAACAGAAACTCATACAGACATTTGTTGGTAATTCAATGTAGTTTCCAAATATATAAACCAAATTGTCCTACGAGGTCTGGTTCAAAATCTCGTTTACGAGCCTATCACAGAGCTTCTTCTATGAGGACGCAAAAAAAAAAAAAAACACACACACACACATACATACAGACATTTGTTGGTAATTCAATGTAGTTTCCAAGTATGTAAACCAAATTGTCCTACGAGGTCTGGTTCAAAATCTCGTTTACGAGCCTATCACAGAGCTTCCTCTATGAGGACGCAAAAAAAAAATAAAACACACACACACACATACATACAGACATTTGTTGGTAATTCAATGTAGTTTCCAAGTATGTAAACCAAATTGTCCTACGACGTCTGGTTCAAAATCTAGTTTTCGAGCCTATCACAGAGCTTCCTCTATGAGGAAGCAAAATTCTCGAGCCTTTTCCGTCTCTCTTTCCGGAATTTAGTGGAATTTTCTCGGGTATGAAACTAGTTTTCATATACAATAAAGCCAGCCAACCGCAGGCAACGAGAAGCTGCGAGCACGGAGCGTGTGTGCGTTATCACTTTTGCGCGAACGAGCATGAATATTTACGAAAGAAATAAAGCTTGTAATCAATTTCTCTTCGCTTTTATGTATCGAAACACGAATCAATCGGATACACGCATGGAGAGAGAGCGAGAAAGCTTGCAAGCGCGACATCGGCTCCGCGCCGAAACCACTTATCGGACATTTTTTCGTCGACGATTCAACTCTTTCCTCTTTTTTTTCCAAGTAATAACAAAAAAAAAGAGGAAAAAAAGAGAGCAGCATTGGATATGATACGTCATGTTGCTGATTGTGTATATAGACCTCGTCGCCTTGGGTAACCACGCCGCGAGATGTTGATAAGCGTTGATCTTTTTTTTGCCGCGAGTTTTATACACGGTACACGTGTTGTTCTCATTGCAAAATTCTCGACGGCGACAAAGTCAATTTTATTAATTGGTTCGAGCTGGTCGTGAGCTTGCGACGATGATGCAAACTCTTAGGATGATCGCGCGTATATATACCTAGACGACGATATCGATTTTATGCTCGTGTCCGCGCGCGCTCGCCCGTGCCTCTGTGTGCACGTTCGTGTCGTGTCTTATGTACTTTATATCCTTTTTAATGAGATATTTGAGTACCTCGTATATATACAAGACGTCGTGTATGCAGATATATATACGCGCGCAAAAATATTTTCCTGCGAATTCGTCGGCGTTGATAGCTTTTCATGGAAAAAAAAAGTAATGGAAAACCTGAGACAGTTATATCGTCGAATTTTTCGGGCCGGTAGCGAAAAAATATCGAATTAGTTTCTCTCCTTCCGCAGCCGAGAGCAGTAAAGTACCTGTGCGCGCGGACGCTGGACTGCCGCGTATAATAAACCTGTCGCGCGGATGTCCGCGCGACCGACTCGTCATTTACGATGGCTCTATATCATCTATCTCACAAATATTACTACCTACCTTCCTACCGACCAAAACGATCTGCCCCGACCGCCACGACTGCCACAGAAAACGGGGTCAGTCGAGTTCGTGCACACCGCCACCCGCGCCGTCCGCGTCGTTTAATCATATTCTACAACGCAGCAGCATATATAGCTACCGTACAAGCTACCGCAGCTATGGTTCGTCCTACTTTCATTTTTGTCATTTTATCCTCTGGCACCACCAACGAAAGCCTGTCATTTATACAACGGAACCGGGCGCGCGAGCGCACAAAATATATTATTAACATTTTCATTGGGTGAAGGGGAGCAGGAGGAAAAAAAGTATAACGCGATGCGCCGCTGCATACGAAATTAGAATATATCAATGAATATATCGCAACATTTCTGCGGTATGCAGATATATATTGTACGAAGCGTAAGCTTATCAATTTTGTCTTTGAAAATATCGACTCCTGACACGCGCGGATTTTAAATAATTATTTTTGTTCGTCGGGATATCGGTCGGCGTTTTATTCATATAATTTTGCCTAAATGTATAGAATGAAAATGAAAACCCGAGGTAATAACTTTTCTCTCTCTTTCTCGCTCTCGCTCTCCGTGCGCCAGCGGAGAAAAAGCCAAGGCTTAATCTTCGGGAAAAACGTGGTATCAAGCTCCTCTTGATCATCATCGTTGCTGCTCCCACACGCGCACGCACACACACCCACATACACAAATTTAATGGAAATTTATACACGCGTACAACGCGAAATCTCATCATCTTCGGGTTTTACTCTCTCTCTTTTTTGTCCACGTCAGAAAACCTGTCAAATTATTCATCGCGTAGTAGCGGTATACATACATATTATGAGGAAAGTTACGCGTAGATTTCCACATTGAACGAACGAGGAAATAATTGCGGACTAGCTGCTGCAGCTGCTTGCGGCAACTTTGAATAATATATATATATAGATACGCGTAAGATTATCCAAATTTATCGCACTCGCGACTTCGGGCAACAAAGGGCAATTAGATTTCTCCGAGTGAAGTTCCTCCCTTCGCTCCACGTATTGTAAAACTTTGTACCTCTTGTATGGATTAGGAGTGTGTAAGTGGATAAATTTGCGAATAACGAGCAGACGTTTCGATCAACGATGCAAAAAAAAAAAAAAAATTAAGTGTACTCGAGAGCTTGCGAAAGAATTTAGTTTGCTCAACAATTGGCATCCCAGTCGCGGCAGTGCTGTGCGCAATCTTTTTCATTTTGCCCGTATCGTGGGTTAGTTCTCTGCGGTCCAATCAGCTTATTTCTCTTTTTCTCTTCTGTTTCTCTTTCTCTCCATCTCTCTCTCTCTCTCTCTCTCTCGCATTCGAGCTTTGTTACAATTTAACTAAGGTTACCGCGCGCGCTTGGCGGGAAACGGAAGCCCCGCAGCCGCAGAGTATTGTTTACACCGTATACGAGAGAGAGAGAGAGAGAAAGCCCCGTTTCGTATACGTATGTGTGTGTGCATACGAGTAATTAAAACGCATAATACCCTAGAATTCCGTATCAAAGGGCCTTTAATTTTTCAAATTCGATTAATTACGCACGTTGCAGTACACGCGGAAATACGCGCGCGAATTAGTTGACTGTAAGCTACTAGCCCATCTACGAGACATTTAACAATTTTTTTTTGCGCTCAAAGCTTTTGTTGGGCTCATAAAAAATTTTTTAATCAAGATAAAGAGAACCGTCTATTCAACGATTTTTTTATCTCTCTCTCTCTCTCTTTCTCCATTGTTTAGAGAGTCATTTTCTTTATGAAATGAATTTTTTATATAAAAATTCCAAAAGAGAATCACACTTCTTCAATTGAATAGCTAACTTTTTTTGCGCTGCGCAAAAAGCTTTTAAAATATTAAATCAATATAGTAGTTATACGTAGTGTTTGCTGAAAAAATTTTCGTTCGACAGAGCTCTCGCGTCTTTGGTCATTTATTGGGATGTCCTTTGAAATTATATCATAACATAAATACGCAACGAGCGACTATATAAACATAGGATTTATACTATACGCTCCCTTGGGTAATCAAGCTCTTGGAGAAGTAGTCCCTATACGTGCACACGGGTGTATGTGTGTGTGTATATGTGCGAGAGTGAGTAACCCAAATAAGTCGCAACTTTTGACTTGCGCAAAGTCTACCACGTTATACATTATGTAAGTAAAAATGACTGCTTTGCCCGGTATTAATAATTCCTAATATAAATGTACGCCTTAACTCCTCCTGTGCATACGTAACATCGATTAGATGCATGTGCTCGTTAAGGGGCGAAACTTTCGGGCGCAATTTCTCCTCATCAACGTTCGAAATTACTCAAGCGGTTAAACATTTTTTCTATTTTTTTTTCTTTTTTTCTACGAAGTAACAGCAGCAGCAGCAGCAGCAGCAGCAGCAGCAGCAGCAGCAGGCAAACTTTCAGAAAAGAACCCAATAGCTAAAATCGATATTCCTCGAAATGTTCTCCTCACGCGCGCGTGAGAACGACGAATTCAGGCAGAAAGTTCTGCAGTATAAATGTTACAAGGCATCTCTCTCTCTCTCTCTCTCTCTCTCTCTCTCTCTCTCTCTCTCTCTCCGCACCGACAAAGTGACAAAGTTGCCCGAGGGGATTTTAGCCATAGGTACACGTCGTCGATCTGATTAATTATTGTTTCATAAAATAAAGTGGTAAGTTGTGTTTTTTAAAATCTTTATAGAGTCTTTGAGAAAATATAGCGCTCTACGCGTAACAATGTCAAAGCGATGAATACCTTTCGTGTAAGCACATTTTCAGCTTTTCTCGAAAAGTTTCTCAGTTATATCGGAACAGTTTCAAAAGATATCTGGTTATAATTCGAAAAGTCATCTTTATATTACAGTATTTTGATAATAATATCTTAACTTGCAGCCGAACTTCCTTCCACGCGCAACGATACTCGAGAAACTTTTAACAATCGAAAAACGATGAGTAAAATGATACAGCCAATAAATCCATAATAATTAATAAGTTAATAATTATGCAATATAAATAAAAAGTTATATGTCGAGTGGAGAGCGCTCGATTCAAGTGCTCGCCTCCGCATGCGAGGCGAGCTTGCAGCCTGCATACGCGCTCATATGTTTACCGTATATTTTG